TAGGAACCAGAAGGATCCTTGTGCTTTTCTGCCTTTCACTATCCCAACTCTACTGAAAGCTGGTGATCACTAGTGCTCTGGCTGTCAGCCACATAAGCCTTGGTGATGTTTTGAATGACTTTTAATGGAGAACGGTGTGTGAAATTCACACTGAGAAAATGAATTTTTCATTTTCAGCCTCTTGGTGAAGAGGACTGAAAATTATAGTTGGCATATGTCATAGGTTGGTATCTCCCATCACTTTGATGGGAACTGGAGGACTGGCATTATGGTTGGTATCTCCCATCACTTTGATGGGAACAGTAATCATATAGCCCTTTCTCTTTCACCCCTGATAAATCACTCTATTGTTCTGACTACAAAAAAGCTACTTGGTTTTGCTGCTTTGTGCAGTGTGCGTGGTGGTTCCTGTGAGTTCTTTGGGTCAACATCATGAAAGACTGCTCTGGTTCCTGGGTCTGAACTTGAAAGGCAACAGCTGACTCCTTGTGTGATGCTGTAACACACTGCAGTGTTGTAATAACCAGGTCTATAGGCTGACAAGCTATCTTACTGTTGCCTGAGAAAAAACAAATCTTGTAGCTACTGTTGTGAAGCTCTTTTATTGCTCTCTGTGACCTCCATTTGCCAGGAAAAAAGGTGTCAACATAATGCTCTGGGATTATGCATAGTTCCCAAAGAGTGGCTAGCAAAAGCAGGCCTAAACCAGTTGACATTGCCCAGTAGTGTCAAGGTGTGACTGCTTTTATAGAGCTTCAGTAAGACCAGGTATGGAAAGTGTGCTCTGAATACAAGTGGAAGTCATGGTGGATATTGACTGTAAGCTATGAAGACTGAAGGAGCTTGGCTTTTTTTCCCTGAAAACCTTAATGTAATCATACACACAACTGGGGTGTAATAAGGAAGGATAAACCATCCTGGTGGGGACACTCAGCCAACTCAACTTCCTACTGCAGCTACTCAACTCACCAGATCTGATTTTCCTTTGAAACTTTTCCTTTCTGTTACTTAGCTTTCCCAAAGAAAGTGTTTTCAGTGCTCTGTGCCTGGGTCACTGTTTATCACCTTCTGAAAAAAATGACTTGCCTGTGTGTCAGAGTGTGGTTCCATTCAGCTGTGCCTGTCTGAGCCCTCAGTGTGTCCACCTGTCTGTGCTTCCTGCTTCTCATTAGATGGCAGAGGAGCATCCTTCATCTGGTGTGTGGTAGCAGTTACTCTCCAAGGTGTTTGCTGCCACCTCCACTTGTGGGTTTGGTGGGAAGAATAGATACTCTGAAAGGGTAAATGAAGGGAAGGGTTTAGTTTTATGAGATATATGGAACTTTTGAGGGGAAAACATGCTTGTGGTGGATTAACCTTCAGCAGGTATCCACCAAAGCCACTCTGCCCCTCCCAACTCCTCAGCTTAACAGGGGAGAGAAAATAGAACAAAAGGGTCATGGGTTGAGGTAAGGACTGGGAGAGATCACTCACTAATTACTGTCACAGGAAAACCAGACTCAACTTGGGGAAATTAATTTATTACAAATTATATCAGAGCAGGGTAATGAGAAATAGAAACTAAATCTTAAAACACTTCCCCCTCACCCTTCCCTTCTTCCTGGGCTTGGCGTTATTCCCAGTTTCTCTACCTCTTCCCCTCAGTGGCACAGGGGGATGGGCAGTGGGGGCTGTGGTCAGTTCACCACACCTTATCTCTGCTGGGCCTTCCTCCTCACACTCCAACGTGGGGTCTCACCTGTGGGAGAGAGTCCTCCACAAACTGCTCCAACGTGGTTCCTTTCCATAGGCTATTGTTCTTCATGAACTGCTCCAGCATGGTCCTTCCCACAGGGTGTAGTTCTTCAGGAGCAGACTGCTCCAGCATGGGTTCCGCTCTCTCCATGGGTTAGCAGGTCCTGCCAGGAGTCTGCTCCAGTGTGGCTTCCCACAGGGTCACAGCCTCCTTTGGACATCCACCTCCTCCAGTGTGAGATCCTCTATGGGCTGCAGGTGGAGATCTGCTCCACAGTTCACCTCCGTGGGCTACAGTGGGACAGCCTGCCTCACCATGGTCTTCTCCATGGGCTGCAGGGGAACTCTGCTCCACTGCCTGGAGCATCTCCTCCCCCTCCTCCTTCACTGACCTTGGAGTCTGCAGAGTTGTTTCTCTCACATATTCTCACTCCTCTCTCCTGGATGCTGTTGCACAACAGATTTTTCCTCTTCATAAATATGTTATCAGAGAGGTGCTACCAGCATTGGTGGTGATAGGCTTGGCCTTGGCCAGCATGGGTCTGTCATGGAGCCAACTGGCATTGGCTCTTTTGGACATGGAAGAATCTTGTAGCATCTTCTCACCCAAGCCACCCTTGTAGCCCACTCCTCTACCAAACGCCTCCCACGTGAACTAACCACAAGGCTGTAAATGGGTTGGTTTGGTGTAAGGTCAAAGGGAGTCAGAAAGCCACCAATGAACATTCATAAGAAAGGCAGCAGGGAGGAGGGAATTAGCTGGACAAAGAGTGAGAGGATAGTGTGCACATACTGAGGAGCACTCGGGCAGAGATCCAAGGACATTAGCAGTGGCAAGGGGTGCATGGGACACAGTGCAGGGACGTGGATGCAGGGTAGAAGGAGGGGTTGTCATCTGAGGCAGCACACAGTGCAATGGGCTGATTTCCACAGCAACAGCAGCTCTATGGATCTGCCATAGCTGTGCCTGGACAGTGTTCTTCTCATCCAGAGACACCAGTGAAATGGGCTCTGGACATCCCTAGAACCTTTATTCCAGCCTTGATGGGGAACATCATCTTCTCCATGTCTGGCCTCAATCCCTCTCACTGAGGTTGGACCCCAGTCATGTCCTGTTTTCACTGGATATCAGCAATAGTTTATTGTGTTACTTTACACATCAGTCTTTTCTGTTACATATCTTCCCTAAATCTTTTCTTCCTAGACTTCCATCAGAGAAACTGCTCCTTGGCAGAACCAGACTTTTCATACTTATTTATCTAAATTACAGTTTTTCATGCAGAATGCTTTCAGTAGGTGTGATGTTTAGATCACATCTAAACAAACAAGGAGTTCTTTCTGTCACTGAAACCAGCCACTGAAGTAGAAGATGAGATGGTGAGACCAGCATCAGCAGATGTATTAACATGGAGATCAGGTAACTTTTGTTATCTGATTATGAGAGGTATTAACATGGAGATCAGGTAACTTTTGTTATCTGAATATGAGAGGTGGAACTGTTTTGGGAGGTAGGAGAGGGCTGGTGGAGAGCAAGACCAAGTGGTTCCTTCTGCATGTGCCACTTTTTCCTGTTAATACAGTAGGAACAGGAAAGGAGTTCACTGTAAGGGCCATACCTTATACATATTTAGAAGGTAAAACTTTTAATAGCTGTTGTAGTTAACTTGCTGTGGTTTTAGTGACAGCACTGCTTAAAACAGGAATGTGGAAACCACTGGGTGGGTGGAGAACGTGACAAGGACACAAGCCAAGCTGCACGTTCTAAGACAAAAGTATCTATTGGCACAGCCAAGCTGGGATTTTAATAGCCATAATCTTTTGTGAGCTCCTGGGAGACACGTGAATCAAGGAGTGGAAATGGTAGGAAGTTTTTTTGCTGTGCTGACCACTGATGAGTCTTCCAGTCCTTGTACTGCTGTACTAGTGAAATGTGCAGATTTGTGAAGTGTTACAAGTACTGGATTTCGTGCCAGCTGCTGTTCAGAATTACTTGTCTCAGGTCTCACTGGACGTCTGTCCTAGGCTCATTCATTCCATCTTGCTATATTTGACTGAATTTATTGCTAAGAGCATGTCATTAAGTGCATTAATAGCATTTTAGCTCTCATTTGATCTTGAAGTAGGCATAGCAGAATCAAAAAATAGCATGTCTGCTCAGTGGGACATTGTGGCAGTGGGAGATATTCTTGACAAACATTTCCATTACATTCTGGACTATAGTTAGCAGGCAAAAATGGGGGATGCTTTCACAGGAAAGCAGGAGAGATACGTTCTGCTAAGAATTCCAGAGATGCTGTATGCTTCCTAAATAGGGTTTCTGCTTTTATGTTGTAGAGAGAACAACCAACAGCTATGGAATATTTAAAAATATACTAGCATCTGCTTTTGGGAGGTAAATAGTAGGTTTATGCTTGTCCATTGCTTTGATTTTAACCCAGATTTAATTTAAAGCTGTATTTGATAAATGAATGCATGTACAAAGTTTTCAATCTGGCTTGAAACTGGTAGCACTGGTGTTGAACACTGTCATCTGCCATTCAAGCCTCAGTAGCAGAGAAGTTGCAGGGGTGACCTAAACCACCCATACCTGCTCAGAGGGGATTGTTTCTAAGAACACTGATTGCAGTGCTTTGAATGCTGTAATATTGGAGATTATCCTGTCATCATTAAGCCAGGCAGGTGATAAGATAGAGTTTGCAAAGCTGAGCAAAACCATTCTCCAAGTTCATGGTCACTCTTTACTGGCTCCATAAAGCAGAAGCCTGTGACCTGGCACCCTCAGAGCACATGGCCTGGTTGTGCCATTAATGAGCCTCTGCTCTGCTGGAGAAATCAGACTGC